ATCAGCAGTCCATCCAGTGCACCAGCCTATCCGTGAAGGTGCAAGTGCCAGATGAGCCTGAAGAAAAATGAAAAATCCACGAGCGGGCATTTGTGTAGCTTGCCTACACTCCATTTGCCCACGTGGACTTTTTTCTCCACTTGTAATTAAGACTTCACCTGCCCCTGACAGAAGTCTCATATTCCTTTCTAAAGCCCTGTAAATTCAAATAGGCTTAAACTGTCTTAACGTTCATATGAACACCTTTTCCTTTTCAGTTTTTCCTTTTCTATGCAATCAGCGTGTGGCAATGAATCCATAATTAGTGAGTTCAGCCGCTGTGAAGCGTCTGTTGTCATATAGCGTCCTTTAACGCAGAATAATTGGAAAGGGCGCAGGAAACAAAGCTGTGACAGAGGAAGTAGGTACAGATAATAAAGTCAACGTTGCTTGTTAGGAAAACAACATACGGTGCTGTTCTTAGCAAACCTTCCAAATTCTCCTGCTCTTTGTGAAACTGTTTTCCATTGGAACTGATGTGTGCTGAAGAGGAGTTTCTGAATCCAGGCACCTGCACTGATGCTACAGCTGGTACTCTGAAGATGTATTTTGTTTGGTGTTAGACTTCAAAAAAAATTATACATACAAAAAAATTCTCATTTCTTTCTGGATAAGCTGAGGAACAGAGCAATTTTAGTACCTCCTCACTTTCTGGCAATTGTAGTTTATGAGCTGCAGGTACTCAGCGTACAAAGTAATATTTTCCAAGACCTGATTTAAGTAAGCACTGGCACGCTAGCTTGAAATGATTTGCTTGCGCCATGAAAAACAGTTGAGCTGCTGTCCTTACGGCTTGCAGCTCAAGGAATTTGATAGGCCAAGAGTTGAAAGCATTTCAATGCATCAGATTTGTCTTAACCCTTTCACATCTTGACTATAGATATGTTTTTGTTCCTTGGGCCCTTTTCCTTATTTGTTCAGGTGAACAGATAGTGAACAGTAGGTAACAGATTTGCCCAGCAGCCTGGAACAGCTACATCATAGGTCCAGTATATTGTTTGGCGCTAATTAAATTGATTCCCACATCTATGCCGTTAAAAAATGGTCTTTTTAAAGGGCTCTAAAAAATGCAAATAATAAATGATGCTCTACTTAAGATTTTAATAACATAGCCTGACTGTTGAAGGGTGCATGAACACAATAAACTCTAAATTGCACTTCCGGCTTTTGCTTAAACTGTCGTCTTGTGAGTTGGATGACTGCTTTGCTAGCCGTACATGGAGTTTGATTACAAGAGCAAGAAAGGAAGATGTCGCAGCAGCAAATGCTCTAATTTGTGGCTTTTTGTCTTTCAGGAAGCTCTGAGGAACGGTTTGGTAGCCACCGAGGTGCTGATGTGGTTTTACATTGGTGAGATCATAGGCAAAGGCGGCCTGATTGGATACAATGTTTGAAGACAGTCCCCAGTAGCCTGATGTTTTGCTTCTTTGTGCCCCGAGTCTGTAACAGTATCTAAGAAAATAAAACCCAGAACTGATGCGGAATTGTTTTGGTCTTTTTGTGGCGGGTGGGATGTGAGCCTGTCCCTGACCTGTTAACGCTGCCAGTGATGGAGAATGGCTCCACTAAGGTGTAGCTGCCTGACCTGCGGGGTAGCACCCGCACATACAGGGAAAATGACTCACTTTCTTCTGCTGCTTCTGTGAAATAGGAATCTGTTTCAAGCAGTACTAAAGCTGGATTTGGTTGAAATTTTTGTTTGTTATTGCTTCTATACTAGTTCTTTGCATATTTTTGCCCTGTTCCACTATGGGATCTGCTGCAATGTTTTAGAAGTCTTGAAGTTATGAATTTCAAATTCGCAGTACAAATGCTTTCGTTTGTTTGACATCTACTTAACAGTAGATGTAGTGGGAACCAAAAATAAATCCTAGTGTTCTAAGCTATCAAAAGGTATCTTGGCGTTGCCGTTATGGTTTATAGCATTATTCCACCTGGTTCTGCTGGTGTGAGGTAAAATTTGCTGTGTGGAGATCTTTGAAGGTAAGCAGAACATGACTTGATATATCATCTTAAATCACAACTTGTGAAAAGTGTAAGCTGTCCAGCGTCTCCCAAGTTTGCTCAAACAACTTTGGAGAGGTATCTACAAAAAGCTTTGTAAGATAAACTGTACTGTAGCACAGTCCCTTTCTCTCAACATTTTTAGAAAAATAACTTTTGAATTAATATGCAAGGGTAGTCTAAGGAAGCCTCACGTTAGAACGAAGTAAGCACCCACAAAATGCTAAATCCAACTTCTTCCAAAGTAAAGAAAAAGGCTGAGAAAGCTGAGCCTTTATACCATGATGGAAAGGAGCTTGGGTCGGGTTATTTGATGGTAGTTTAGTTCTGTCTGTTCTCAGTAGAAAATACTGAATTAAATAAACTCCGTTAGCAGAAGTCCACCAGCAAGGACAGCACACCCTCGCTTAAGGAGCTTCTCGCCACGTGAGGTACTTTGTTGTTCTCACTGAGAAAGGGACGCTTGCTTTCCTTCCCATTAAACTAGGTCTTGTGCACTGGATGCCTGGCTGTCTTCTGTCTATTGTTAGCTAGTGCTTGGAGTCAACCAGTCTCTGCAAACTATTTTGAAAGAGTATTCTGAACTGCTGCAATCCCCTCTTGGCTGGTCCTTTGATCCTCTAGGCCTTGTGTTCAGCTCCTTGGTGAATATCCAGGCCTCTGGCTTGGCTGCCCTGTGCAACTCTCAAAATCTCTTGGCAGACTGTGCTAGCAGCATGGAGATGACTCTTCTCTCTGCAGCAGTAGCATGGGACTTTCTCAACACTTCCTTCTAGTAAGAAGCCTTGTGTGATCTCTTGGACTCTCTTGACAGAGGTCATGCAGGTGAAGTCACATGCTTCACGTTTAGTGAAAGGAAGGTCACTGATGGCAGCGATTGAAGACGCCACGTATTTTAGATGAGGCTGCATGTTTTGAGATTTGCTTCCTTGCTAACCCTGTCAGGTAGGTGCTGATGGGTGAAAAGTGCAACCTGCTGATAGGATTCCTTGTGCACAGTCATAGTGTCAGGCTCCTAGCTGTGTCCAGCCATCTCAATCACTTCCTCTTTCTTACAGAGGTGCAGTTGCCAGTTTCTTCTTTTGTTGGTGTTCAGAGCCAGTAAGTAAACAACTTGGAGTGGGACTGTGCCTACTCTCCTATTGACTTTGCTATTACATTGTTCCTCCCCACCCCTTAGGGATGGGAGCATGGGCTGCAGACACCTGCATCTGCTTGGAGTCCCAACAGGATTCTCAGCATAAAATGCTTTTTTTTTTTTTTTTAAAAAAAAAAAAACAGGGAAAGGTTCCTGACCCAGATAGCAAGGAATGGGGTGGGGAGGGCCTCTGAGGAAGCATAGCACATGAGCCTTAAAAGAAAATGTTGATATGCCTTTTTTTTTCTTCTGTATTCTGCTGTCATAGGGATACTTAGTTCTGTCCTGTACCATTGACACTGCCAGAGGCAGAGTATGTGTATCTGTGTCCCACTTGAAACCTCATGGCCTTAAGTGCAGAACTGACCACGGAGCAAGTAACTGCATCAGCCTGCTTACTGCTACCCTTTCTAAGGGAGCAGAGGTCTAGCAGCAAAGCATAGCGCATGGCTAAGCCAGCGTTGTCCCCTTGTTGCTGTGCTGTGCCCTAGAGCTCCTGCTGGCAGCATGGCTAGCTCCCTGCAGCTGGCCAGGTGGGACACTCACTCAGTGCCCCTGAGCAGCTGGCGGAATGCGCTCTCTGTGCCGCACAGCTCTGTCCTCCTCCCTCTTGCATAACTGCATGGGAAGGGCCTACTGCTGTGGTGCAGTGCGGGGACTGAGCACTGGCACAGGTTGCCCAGAGAGGTTGTGGAGTCTCCTTCCCTGGAGATAGTCAAAACCCGTCTGGACGTAATCCTGTGCAATGTGCTCTAGATGACCCTGCTTGAGCCAGGGGAATTGGACTAGATGATCTCCAGAGGTCCCTTCCAACCTTGGTCGTTCTGTGATTCTGTGACCGGAGTACAGCTCCCTGGGTTGGTTTTTGACCCAGAATGGTGCCAGGCAGCGCTGCGTTACCCGCAGAGGTCACACTTATCATCATCAGCAGGGACATAGTTCTCACCGCTAGCAAATAGGACCTGCAAGCAGGAGAGACATGGGCTCAAGCTAATTTACGTAGCTGGCTAGCTTAACTCACAGCAAGTAGCCACAGAGGTTCCAAGCTCATTTGTGAGAGAAGGCAGCGTGAGGAGCTATTTGATTTAGGATTGCAGACGCTCTCAGTCCTTTTTATGAAAGGCTTGCTAGGCACTTCATGGCAGTTAATTATGTCTCAACCTGTGAGCAAGCTATCGGTCACCTCCGCATGATAGATGGGGAAAGCAAGGCTAAAAGAGTTTGCCAGCTTCCTTGGGTAAGTCTGTAACAGAAGTAGCAACAGGAGCTGGGCTTCCAACTCACTGTCCAAACTTACTGCCTTGCATTCACTTTTCCCCAAATGCCTATCTAGGAGATAGATATTAATTTACACCTTGTACAGCCAAGTAGCTGTGGTCCTAGAAGAGTTCTTTTATAGCCAGGAATTACTAGGTGCACCTATTACTTCCTTTGCTGGTAAGTACTTTTGCTATTTTTCATTTATCTCTGAGAAGGTGACGCTTTCTCACAAAGGGCACCAGCAAATCAAACTCATGTCAAAGCGTGATGCTCTGGCTAAGCAATGAGTGCATATCTAAGCACAGGTACCTCCTCCTCACTCAACAAAATCCATGCCCATAAATAAAATCCATCACCATAGCAGGTGAAACGCATGTTCCAGGGCTGGTTCCAGTGGTTCAAATAACAGAACAGCACTTACTCAAGCGTGGCTGCCCTCAGGAAGAGCTCCGTCCTTACTGCTGGCTCTGAATAGGAAATTGCACCTACATCTCTTCAAGCCTAGTGAAGCTAGCATTCACCAGTTGTGGCTGACGGCTGTCAACGTACTCCAAGAACAGGCTGCCAGAAGAATCGCCTCTTCCACCCAGGACACCTGCAATGTCAACAACTGTGAGGTTTGCCTTTGCTTCCTGTCCCACACTGCTCTGCTCTAGAGGTATTTCACTGGGGAACATGGTGAATCCTGCATGTGCATGTACAGGATGGGGCTGAAGTGTGCTTGAGGAGCCTAGGATTTGATGCTAGCACTGGATGGTGTGAAGGGGCTCGCCTCTTCTGCCTCTGAATGACAACAGTGTTATTCATAGCCCTGCAAACACAGTATATCTCTGGGAATTCTCCATTTCTCATGTTTGTAAACCCATTGTCCAGCCAATATCTGTGAGGAGAACCTCCCAGGCCTCTGAGTGGTGGGCTGAGCATGTAAACTGTTACTTAATTAGGGAGGCAGACAGAGAGGCCACATATGGGATTAAAAGTGTGATCTTGACTTGCAGAACGAGCATTCTGGGCCCAAGATAGAAGAACCTTCCAGAAAGTAAGCCTTGCAAGATCCTGCTCCAATTAAGATAGGCTTGCCCGTCCCATGCCACTTGTTCCTACCTGGGAATTGTGCTCTCTCCAGGAATGGGAGTTTGTAGGTGCTCACGTGCAGGTTTGATATGAGTGGGGCCTGTGATGCAGCCCGCGCATCAGAGGCTGACAAACTTGCTTCATTTTGAACGTTAGATTAAGCTTGAGTAGCAAAGCACGAGAGAGCTTGGAAATACTCCCGTCCCTTTCACACTCCCTAGAGAGACAGAACCTGTCTGATTTCAATAGACATTTTTTTTTCCTCTATAAAAGTCCTAATGAGAAACCACCCTAGTCACGCTCCCAAAGCAGAACCCCAGCAGTGTCTTGAGTGTGAAAAAAACAGAGGCTGCTGGTAAACCAAATGGGCTAGACAAGCTTTTCTGTTCCCTTCAACATCGCAGCTTTTGTTTGTTTTTGTCATTTGCAGAAAACCTTTCTCTCCTTCTCAGTCACTTTCTCCTCCTTCAGTTGGTCTTTAAAAGAAACAGGTATTTTATGTCCCCCAAATACAGAGTTTCTTAATAACCGATACTCATGTATTTGCAATGTTATTTTGTTTATGAATAAAGCAGGTATTTGTTGGAGTTTAACCCTGTTCTTGCTCCACTGTACAACATGGAGGGGATTCTGTGGTGTGATGTCACGGATCAGAGAGAGCTGCTTACTGAGGGTGCATTACATTGCTGTTACTTTCCTTATGGACATGACACCTGATGGGCCACTGAATCAGCTAAAAAGCCACTTCTCCCATGGTAAGGTGGTGGGGAGCAGGTAGGGATTTAAGTGGGGAGGGCTGGGAACGTCCGCTCTACTACCAAGTCTACCTACCAGGTACCGTTTTGCACCCACCTGTATTGCTGGGCAGCTGTTTTTTCTTCCAAGAAAGGCTTCTTCTTGAGCAAGGCCGCACAGTTTCCTCCGGAAGACTTTGAGCACAGAGTCCTTTGCTGTGCATGAGCCCAGGAGAAGGGCTAATGTCTTGTCATGGGGCTGAGGTGGGAGGGGGGTTAGGGCACCCTGTCACTGAGGTGAGGGGGGGGGTTAGGGCACCC